TAGATAATGGATGGATGGAGTCTTGAGGATGTTAAAGCCCGGATGGCCCTTAACTTTCTAAATTTCAACGAGAGAAAAACAGAAGTGATTGTGTTTGGCCCTCGCGGCTCTTGTGGATCCTCCCCTGTGGATTTGGGTCCTTTGGCAGTTTTTGTGAAGTCTACTGTGGCTAACTTGGGCTTTGAGATGGACAGCGATTTTAAATTGTGTGCGGTAGTTAAGCTGAGTTTTATTTCACCTCAGGCAGCTTGCTAAGTTGAAGCCTTTTCTCTGACACCAGCACTTTGAAACAGCAATCCGTGCCTTCAGTACCTCTCGGCTGGATTACTGCAATGCACTTTATTTTGGAGTTAGCCAGTCCTCCCTTGCACGTCTCCAGTTAGTCCAGAATGCTGCTGCCTGTCTGCTAACTGGAGCACGAAAGAGGGAGCACATCACACCCATCCTGGCCTCCCTCTGCTGGCTGCCTGTGCACTTTAGGGTTCATTTTAAGATTATTTTATTTGTTTTTAAATCTTTAACTGACCTCGCCCCGCCCTACCTCTCTGAGCTCCTTCACCCCCACGCTCCTGCACGGTACCTCCGGTCAGCTGATCAGCTGCTCCTTGAGGTACCGAGGTCCAAGCGAACGCTCAGAGGGGACCGAGCGTTCTCTGTTGCTCCTCCTAGAATGTGGAATAACCTACCTTTGCACATCAGGCAGGCCTCCTCACTGTCTGCTTTTAAAACCAACCTCTTTTATTCACTGACTTGACATGAGACCTCGCTCTGTTTTTTTTTGTTCTATGCTGTTTTAATTGTTGGTTTGCTTTGCTGTTTTTATGACCCCTCCATGTACAGCACTTTGTTTCAGCTGTGGCTGTTCTAAAGCACTCTATAAGATAAGTTGAGTTGATTTGATATAATACATCATGTCCACCTCCATGTATTCTAAACTGGACGTTAAAATTAGTTGGTTTCTGCAGTGAATGATGTCACCAAAGTCCATAATGTGATTGTCAGCCCTCATCCTGCCAATACCTCCAACGTGCATGGAGGTGGAAGCATCATCGCCGCTTGTA